CAATAATGTTTGTTTTAATCTGAAAAATCTGATTTGTGGCAAACTCTGGATCTGAAGTAAATGTAGTGCCTCAACCCTGTTTACTTGCTAATAGCCAGCAGGGGGCGACTCTACTGCTTGCGAAAAGAAGGATGGTTGTATAGAAGCCTATCATGTGACTATGTCCAGTTTAGTTTGTGTTTATGTAAACAACAACACCTACCAAACACTATATGTATGAAACCATAAACCAATGTTGACCAGAAAAATGTAATTGCAAAATAGTTTATATTAAAACGTGCTGCCCCTGATGCCACACTCAGACTCCACACAAAAGTAAATTAGCAGTCACAATACAGTATAAAATACTAAATTGATTAAGTTCTGAAAACAGTATACATCTTTCCTGATGTAACATAATGTGACAATAATAATAATGTCCTGGTAGCAGAAAATACCCGGATAGAGTTGTCGTAAAAATGAAATCTTTTAAAATCATTGTTAATGACTTTCCTTGCTTTTTCACCTGCATGGTAATTTACACACAGTCCCTACCCCACTGATGCAAGTCACTTCCTCTCTCTCCCTCTCTTTCTCCCTCGCTCTGTTCTTCTTTCGCCACCCAGCTGTAGAACAGGATACATGAATGCTGGGGAGGAGGATAGTGGCAGAAAAAAGAGGGGGGAGAGGGGGTGAGAGTGGAGGAGGAGGCAAAAAGGCAAGACATAGTAGGACAGAGAGTGTTGGAGGGCAGCATACAGTAACATTCTGCTGTGTTGTGATTATGGAGTGATCATGGAGCAGCAGGACCAAAACAAGAGGAGAAGGGGACACAATGAGGACACAGCGTGGCTTTATGCCTGATCAATGAAAGGTAGATTAGTTCAGAATTGAGGGCTCATCAAGAATCGATGCTTTGCAGAAGGACCGCCTGCAGACTCCTGAGTTTGTTTTCTACCACCAAGGGATTGGATATATGAAGACAAAGTCACTCCAAAATGTGATGGATCAATGAGGACATAAAACAGAAGGCGTAAAAGTAGCTACTGACATTTGGACTCAAGAAAACAAGACAACTCGCAGCAGGATCAAACAAACACTCAGGTAAGCCTGCTTAACAGAATAATAAAAACACATTTGGTAGGAATGTGCTGAGAAACAGCTCTGTTTTCTTTAGTCTTGATCATGTGAAGAAAGTGTGTGGCACTGAAAGAGCATGTATATATTTCACCCCGGCAAAGGAGAATTTAATTGTGCATTAACAGGGCAGGACATTTATCACATTAAACGGTGGTGACAACAGACATAGGTCATTTGACTGAGCGTACAGTAAGTAACATTAGGTGACACGAAAACCAAAATAATAATAATAATACTCTGTACCGATAAAGATGTCAAAATGTTCTCCTTTTTGTAATTCTGACATCCCTGTATGAAGGCTGTTGAGGGGGATGGAGAGGAGCCTTGTCAGAATGTGTTTGCATGAATATGTTGTCATAAATCACCGTTCGCGAGCCCAAACATTCACACTGCATTTTCAGTGTGTAATGATAGACTGCCTGTTAATATGGAAAAAAAGAGTCACACATTAAAGCCCCGTTGGTGACTACGGAACTGCTGGTGCGTAAATTATTAAAATGACCTCTCGCACATGAAAATACTGGCACATGTGAATTTGTGAGTGGCATAGACACATGCACACAAAATGCCAGCCGTGTGAAATGGTGTTCCAGTTAAATGCACACAAAGCTTAATGAAGTCTATAGCATCAGTGTGTGTATACATTATGGCCTCTTTCCAAGGTGAGCTGAATGTGGAGGACAACACAGTGAAAGCTGCTTGCTATGACAAACATTCCCATTAGAGAGGAGACAGAGTTTACCAAAGCAGCAACATTTTGAATTGTATTCGATAAATTAATTTGTGCTTTTTGACACTAAAAGGAGGCAGTATTTGTCAAGGGCTAATATAATATAAAACACTTATTTTCAAAGCCCACCTTTTTATCAGCATTAACAGATTTCTGTTTCTTATTCAGGCACCCCAGGTTGGGAGAGTTTTTTAGTTGAGAGCGTGATTCTTTCTGGCTTATCTCAAGTCTGCATTTCATTTCCGACAGCAATAGTTATCTTTGATTCCTGCGGCATTGAAGCTGTCCCTCGTCTCAGTTCTAGCTCTGCGCATTGTTTCAACTTGTCCTGCTTTCCCATAGATTTCTCTCATGGCACCATCTCAAACGCCTCCCACTGTAAACTTGTTCCTCTCTTACTTTTTAGACGGATGTAATGGCGTGGAAATACCGCCGCTCTCTTGAATTACCAGACTTTTGAGACAGCCAAACAAGGGATGGGGAGAAGAGCCGCTGACCTGACAACTCCAGTTCCAGTTTTGGGTGTCCCTGCCCTGGTTGGAGTGTGTGGTTGGAGAACAACAGGAGTAGACAGAGCCCTGCTGCACACATGGGGACCTCAGTGCAGCGTGGGTGTTCAGACATCCCCGGGTATAAGCAGACCACTCACCCAGCACAGTGTACAGTTAACTGATACACTCTCTACGCCATCGGATAGCATTACTCAAACATCCAAGAGCTACATCACCAAGGAAACGGTGTACAAGGAGATATTACTTCTAACTAAGACTGACAAGGAGAAAAGGGTTATTTTAAAACAGAAAAGTGGGGAATCCAAGACCAAAAAAGAAGTGACTTTCAAAGCACTAGGAGGTGAGGCCTCTGAGGATGTGGCCTGCAGTCAGAGGAACAGTAGTGGGACTTATTGCTATGCCAGGGCAATCAAGACCAACCCACACTTTGCTGGGAATGTAACCAACGTCAGGTCTAAATTAAAATCTGCTCACCGCTACACCAACGGCAGCGTGGTAGATTCAGAGGCGATCGGCGGAATTAGCGTGCACAGCGACGAGGCAGAGTCTGTCAACAGTGCACTCTCTCGTGAAAGAGACCCAACCGGACTGCAAGGTCATTATGCAGAGCGGTGTGGGAAGCTGCTGTTATATGCTGCCGGACCTTTTGGTATGCCACAAAGAATATGCAGCCATTGCGGTGGCAGACAGAATGAGAAAAGCTCCAATACTGGCGCTTGTCTCGCAGACAAACCATCAAAGTCAGCCTCCGTCTTGCCTACCACGCATGTCCAGATGCCCAATATGGAGAACAACTTTAAGCCTAGCCATTATGAAATCTCAGAGAGCATCACAAACAGAGACAACAGGACACTCGTTAATCCACAAATGTTATATTTTAGTGAAGAACTAAAGTATGGAAATACCCCACACCCAGCATGCCCAGTGCACTCTAAAGACAATTTGGACACTTTTTCAGAGACACATGCTGCAATTGATGCAACGTCTCCTCAACCCACAACCATCCTCCATGCCAAAACCATAACTTTTACTAAAGCAACGATTGAAACAAGAAAAGAGGAAGCCAATATAAAATCTTTAGCAAAATCGCCACAAGGCGGTAAAATCCCGCGACCAACAACTCTCGCTCTGACTCCGCAGTTTGCAACAGCTACCAAACCAAACAAGCCACACACACACACTTATCCTAAGCAGTTTGAAAACCCACAAAACAACTCGGCGCAAAATAATGTGCCTAAAAAAGGTTTGTCACCATCTTCTCAATTTGAAAACACATCTACTACCAACACGCGCAAATCAATCACAAACTTTAATACTGTACTGGCGTCGACTGAAAGTATACCTGCTAAATTTGCTAATGTGCAACATGAAATAGTAAGTGTAGAAATAAATACAACTCATAGGCTGGGAATAAGCCCCAAGAGACCTGTCTTATTACAAGTAGCCAATGCATTAGACCCTGCAAGTCCACCACGTTTCTCTCGCGATTCTGGATATACCCCTCAAGAAGAAACACTATCAAGCCTCAAGGAAAAATCACCAGGCAAAGCGTCTTTTATTGACACTGCAATGAACTCAAGTAGATTTTCCATGCAAAACACAACTGCGTCACATTCAATTCTCAGAACTGTTGTCCCAAAGAACGGTTTGAATCGCACCTCTAGTTCAGATCATACCAGCACTGAAAGTAAATCTGTGGCTACACAGATCCAACCAATTCTACGTAACGCCTCAAAGTCCGAGCCTGCGCTTCATGTTTCCACAGGATCTGTAAACGCAACATTTAGTGAAACAAAACCCCAAGACTCAAGAGTTAGGTTGCCTTCAAGTGCAGCACCCAGTTCTACATCTACATGCAACGGCGCTCTATTAAAAAATAAAGCCCTCAGGTACTCCTCAATCAATCTGACAACTTCACCACACACAGTCTCCACCTCTTCATCTACATTGACAGGAAACCAAAGTAACGTCTGTGCCACAGATACAGCTTTGCTGCAATCAGCAGACACAACACAACACACCAACGTTCTTAATCGGAATGACGCGCCTCAACCTGATCACACACTAGCAACAGACAGCAGGCTTCAAAGCGGGAATGATTCTTGTGTGTGTGGTGTTGTTTCCAATCAGGAAAACAACTCAACAATGACTCCGGTTGCATTATCCGAGCAGCTAAACGTGTCAAAAGATCACATCAAAGTCAGTGATGCAAGCACCCCAACTCCTAAATCAGCCATTATTCCGGATACTGAATCATATACGCGTGGAAATAAATTCAGTGGTAATCTAATCAATGAATTAGTTTTGCATGAGTCAAATGACCATGAAAATTCAAATGTGCCCCAGGTCACCGACCTTCAGAATTACATTTCCCTAATTAAGTCAAGCAGCTCTTGTCTCCGGGGTTGCATAAACACAGGGCAACAAAGGCGCACGCATCATCAAGAATACAAAGACACTGAACATGAGGGACAATCCACTACATGCCCACCAGTAAAGAGCGCCCAGGAGACGGATTCAGAAACAGAACAATTCTCCTCGGGATTCTCCGTCAGGCATGCGAATATTAGCCTTAAATATAAGGCCGACGAACGGACACTTCCCAATCATTCAAAACCAGTTGCCGAAGCACAATCAAACTGTGAGACCACTTTCTCATCACTGAAAAATACTGGTGCACATGTCGAGGCAATTGCCAAACCTTCAGTTCTCCAAACCTCTGATTCAGAACCTTCATCCCTATCACGAACACACAAAAGTCCAGAGCTTTCATTCACTGCACCAGTCCCTTTTAACAGCCAGGAAAAGTGTTTTATGCACACAGGCACTGAATGCAATTCCATATTGCCGTCATCAACAAAGCTCTTGGCATCCATGTCCCGCCTCCCGTCCTGCGAGGCAGAGGCGATCGTCAGAGCGGATTCAAAATGTAGCGCTGCCCCCCCTCAGCCGTGCCCAGAGGACCCCAGCCTGGCTCACTCGCAGCCAGCTGCTGCAGCCCTGTTGCTGCCTCCTTCTCCACAGTGCTGCAAATCAGCAGCCCTACAGCAGAGGCTCGAGACTGTGGAGGCCAGCCTGGCAGCCAACAAGGACAGGATCACTACTCTGCTTAACATTATCCATGACCTGGAGACCTGCCACACTCCCACCAGCGGGTAAGATGATGTGTGTGTCTGCATGACTCCTCTAGTCTAGTCTAGTGTAATGTATTGCTTTACATATAGACTAACAGCAGCATTATTACATGATGCTTATCAAACATTTAGTGTATTGTTTAACTATAATACAAACCCTGCAGTGTCAGATATGACTAAATTATTAATAGACTCCACATTCAATTCCACATTCCAATAATGTAGCTGCTTGCCAGATTTGGTCAAGGGAATTACTTTAAAAGCTGTCCTGCTTTGCTGATCTTTGACTTTTCAGTGAGTCATCATTTGCATTTGCTGGATACACACAGTGGCCTTGCAATGCATTGGTAAACTGTATTGATTTTCAATCGAAAAAACACTTTTGTGTGTGTTTGTAAAAAGACATGTACAGTAGCCTATGCTTATTCATCCAGAGTTAAGTGGAGAAAGTACTGGTTACTCTGATTGTTGCCTTTAAGGCGGGTTCAGATGACCCCGACACCTCAGAGGGTGGGGGGGCGGGTTTGTCAATGCAAAATTCTACTCTACTGTGACAATACTGCATTGCTTACAAAAATATGTTTTATAATTGGCTAGAGGAAAGCTAGTTAATGTTAGCTGTAAGATGTTAGCAATTAGCCTGTTAGCTCTTAGCACACTATGGGCTGCAAAGTCCTGCTTTTCTAAATAAAAGATGTAAAAGCCTTAACAGATTGTTGTGTTTTTATGTAAATAATAGGACAAAAACAATGTAAAAGGATTAAAATTTAGAATTATTGACAGTTTACACTGACATGACTGGTCATGGAGCCTAGAACGTTGAATAATTTATAAAGCCTTGACTGGTGAAGGTAAAAACAACCCATATACAACAGAACAATTGAAATTGGGTGACAGATACATCAGACATTTCAGTTTTTTTAAACCCCCTTTTTAAAATATGTTTTAAAAAATATGTACAAAAATAATATTTGCAACACAGTAAAAAAATTGTTTTGTTCCCAATTTGGATGAAGTGGGAACAAAACATGGTTAAGGAATTCATTTAAATGCAGCAAATGATTAAGTACCACTTTGTTGAACATTGACTTTCTGCTGACATTTAACTAGTATCCACCTTTGAAATAATGGATTAACAAGATTAAACAATTCTTATTTGCACTATTTCTTAGATACACTTGGATGTAAGAAGTTGAACAAACATCTTTTGAAGGCCAACATACTGTCAAGATGTTATGAAGCTGGGATCATAGTGTCATGATGCCTTAACACTGAAGATTGCAACCAGGCCTGTGAATGTGTGCAATGCATGAGTGTGACAGAAACCTACTTGGGCATTTCGAGAGGGCATATCTCGGAGAGATTTATTTAGCCGTATAACTCTTCTGGGACAAATAACAAGAATTAAAACTGCCTTCTGGCAATGTGTCTATGTCAATCATTCTCATCCACTGTAGTGTGCTAATAGGTTGTGACTGCCTCCGAGGTCATGTTTCAGAATAACCAGCTCCTAATAACCAACTGATGTCTGACATAATGCATGTTATACGGCCCATCGCTGCCAACATCAGTCTGGAAGAATATCACACACACAGGATGAGTGGTGAGAATAATAAGCTGTGAATCTGAAAGAATGGGGGAGTTTTCTCTTATTCATTGTATGCAATTATGTTTACTTTCTTTTATCCTAGTCGGCAATGCTTCAACACTGGACAGGACCTCAACAACTGCTTAACCTGCCAGAAGACTGCTTGTATTGTGTACAGGTGAGATAATAGTTAAATGACCATTTTGCTTGCATGCAGTGTTTGAACTGATAAGTGAAAAGAGCAGCTCTAGAAATTAGGTCTCTTGCCCAAAATAGAACTATGGTTGCAAAAAATAATGAATATATAGTATGATATTGTGTTATGCCTTGGCGTTGATTATAGACCAGTCAACCTTTATTAAGATCAAGAAAATAATGTTGGGCCCGAAACAATCTCTTTTGAGATATTTGTACAAGGATACTCCCAAAAAATAAATCAATATTTAAGAATGTCCCTCTGTAAAAACAGAGGGACCATGCCTTACTTTTATAAAAGGGCAACTTAAAATTATGGGTTTTATTCAAAGTTCATTTGTGTTCAAGGCATGGTTCAACAAGGCCAAGGCCATTTGCCATTTCAGTTACCGAGCACTTCTCTGTCAGACTGCCCACTTCTCCTCACTTAAAATGAATGACTTACTGTATGGGCAGTTTACTAAATGAAAAGCTCTGTACTGCTCATTTGTTTCATCGCTCAGAATACATAGGGAGATTACTTTTCCCCTCTGGGCATATCATAAATCTTTTCGGAACACTGTCAAATTAAAACACTGACCGTATGTGACTCCATCTATTCACAATCCAGATTTATGGAGATAAGGATTCACTCTGAAATTTAAACTAGCAAAAAGGGACAAGTCATGCCAAAGCAGCTTGCACTTTAAACAAATATTTACAAAGATCACTTCACTTAAGATATGAAGGCATACAATTTGATATTGTGTCAAATGTAAATACATATTTTAGCTCTTGAGCTGAGTTTGCCTAAAGTAGCCTCATCTTGAAAAGTATTGTATTCACATCCTGCAGCAATTATTTAATCATGTTAAAATGTCCTTTTTATTTACTTAAAAAAAAAAGCTAATGACAGACGTATATACCTTGCCCATTTTGTTAAAGATGTGATGCATGAAAACATATCATGCAATAGTTTTTAGCTCTCATATTCTAACTTTGATGCTGGTTTGCACCCATTAGTGGAAATGTTGCATCAGTTGAGACAAAAAACATTACAGAGCATTGTCCCAGAAATACTGTATTTGAAAGGCGGCTATGGAAATCTAAGTCTTCCTATCATCTTCTGAAAACAAAATACCTCACACTCTACAAAGCGAGACCTAAAATGATCTTTACCTTGAAATATTCAACACATCCCTCCTGATCTACTTACTCCCAAAACTGCTTTTGCATGACAAAAACACATTACATAAGTTGATCTGCTGACTGCTGTGTGTTGCCATCTGGTCCTTAAAGGCCAAATGGAAGATAAGGCAATTTGAACAAAATGTGTGCACCTTCAAACACAAAGGACACCCTGCTGGGGGATGTCTTCCTGCCTGAACCAATCACACATTTTGAAATCTGACAAGCGCAGATCCTCCCACACGAGTCCCACAAAGTGAGCCGTAAATACTAAAGCTTGATACATAATAGAAAAAATAAGCTGGAAATACAGATTTGACAAATCTAAGCATTCATATGCATTCTTTGTGAAGAGCTGATATATTTTGTGTTGTTTTCAAGCCTCTGTTTTGGGGGGTTTTAGTAATTTTGGGCTGCATCTGTGTCTGTCCAGTGTGGAGTATGACTTCAGGCAGCAGGAAAGACGCTTCTTGGAAGTTCTGAACCTTTCGACAAAAGGAAATAATGCTTTCAACGCGCACTCATCCCCTCCCCTGAACTTCAGCCTGCTCAGAAATGTCATCATTAAGAACTTAACAAAGTCAAAGGTGAGAAGCAAAAAGCTTTGCAAGACCCTGTTCAAATGGCTGCCCAGGAAAATCCAGCAAGTGTAGACCTCTCCACAAAACCTGTGTGCTGTTTTATAGCCATAAGCCTGTGTTTCAAGTGACCAGCAGAAGCCTTTGCAGAGGACTTCTACTCCTCCTTTCCTACCCATAGAATAAGGTGACTCTGGATTAGGCTCTTACCCAGTAGAATTCCACTCTCCTGCACATTGTCAAAGCTTATAAACATGATTTTGTACCCCTTATCTTTGTGACCTTCATCTAGTATCATCCATATTTCACTTCTGAAGGTTAATGTGATTTTGTTGTCAATATGCCTGCTGCAAACCCCAGCCACACATTTCTGTATCTAATTTTACATAAAAAATGCGGTTATTCACATTTATGATTAATGCACTATAAGTTCTATGTCACATTTCCCTTTTATCTGTCCCTCTTGCCTGCTTTTTAAGATTAAATGTGCAGCATAGAACAAGTTTTTCAATGGAATCATTTTGAAATGTAAAAATAAATGGGAATTTACTCACTGTTTGTTTGTCTGTAAATCTGTTCATTTTTCAGAGCTTTGTTTAATTTAGAATGCTAAACCTCCCTTTATGATATATATATATATATATGTAATCTGCTGAGATGTACAGCTTCAGTACATCTAAAGCTTTTTTTAAGACTGCAAACTAACCACGAGAGTGGAGAAAATAGAAAAACATTCATTATGCCTTTGTCAATTGTGCTGATGGTCTCCAAATCCCCAAACAATCTGAGCCTCATAAAAGGTTTCGGAGTAAAACAATGACATGACGAAAGGCTGCAATGAAGCGTGAGTCAAATTCAAAATGTCCATGTGCACATGCACACACAGGCACATGAATATAAAAAGCCAAGAACAGCAACATGAATCAAAACCTTCTGGACGGTTTCACTGAAAACTTCATCAATTATCAATGGGAATGTGAGATTTAGAGAGTTTTGGGGAAGAAAGGGCATAAGAGAAACATATAAACTGTATATCGAGCAACAAGCCAAGCAAAGGTTGTTATATCACCTTTTGAGCTGAAAATACTTTGGAAGTGTTTTAATTAAAATGACGCAAAGAGGAAATAATTCTGAAATTGAAAAGGCATTCTTGCACATGGTGCTTGAGGGAAAAGTGGTTATATAGCAGGTGACAGCCTCATGGCCTCCTGAAGGAAACAGTAAGTAGGTTTTATCTAAACTAGAAATTATAACAATGCATGCATGCATGCATGCATACAGAGATGTAGTATTCAGAAAATGGCCAAACATCTTCAAACATCCTCAAATTGTACTCATCAAAGTTACTCATACAGCGCAGTGCTGTTTGAGCCTTTCATGGCTCCAAAGGGAGATGTATGAATCATTAAGAGCAAGTTGAAATGCTAAATCAGGGCAATATTCTCTTAAGATATAGAAGTTGTATTATATAGTACTATCAAATAAAGTTGTTTTTTTTTTATTATCAAGTTGTTTATTTTCCATTGGGCAAAACTTTGAGAACTTTCACACAATCAGGACCGCAGCCTGTGATTGGTCAAAAAGTCGGAAACACAGACTGCTGTGATTGGTCGACAGACTCAATCATCGAAATCTGTAGTTGCTAGTAGACAGCTAAAGCTAATGACAGCTAGAACTGTTTTCAACGCGGACCAATGGTTTAAAAAAAGACAGAAGACATTTAGTGTTCGATTTATCATGATGGAATTATTTTACAAAGTATCCAGAAGGACGCTGCTGGATAACAAAGCTCCTGAAACGGCAACCGGATACAATATCGCACCAGGAACCCTCTCCGGAAAGGCACAGCAACTAGCTTCTCGGCTAAAAGTAAGTGTCTGCATGCTAACAGCCCGACAGTTAATGTGGTATATGACGTAGTTCGACATGACGCTAAAACTATATTAAACTAAGTTCAATATTACTATAACATATTTCCTCTTTAAGTAAAAATAGTCATATCACATTGTAAATACTGTAAGTGACTGTGACAACTACATGCCCTTCCTTTAAAATGTATAAAGTACAACATAATTAACGTCAAAATGCACTTACAAAAAGTAAAGGTAACTTTGGTCACTATGCACAATGGCCCATTTCATAACATTAAGTATCACTGTTGTCTTCATTTTAATATTGCAGTTCTTTTTTTACTGCTGTGCAAAGTTGATCTTAACCTTTAAAAAATTCATGATAGATGATTTGTGGACTTTATTTTGCAATATTAATCCTAATATGAAGCTGTAGTAGAGCAAAACATTTTTGCTTCTGAATTATGGTTGAGTAGAAGCATCAAATACCCTTAAAATAAAGTTATATTTTAGCATTGTAGAGCAAATTGGCACATTTAGAAAGTTCACTATCAGCTGTGGCAGATCCCTCTATATAATATTGTGTTTATTTTCCATACTTTCTATGAACTTCTTCAAACAAATGCTTTGTTGATTTGCTTGTGAAAACAAACACTGAAATGACATGATGGTCTGGCTGGCCTTGGTGTTTGAATGCTGATGGACCTAGTCTAGATAACGTTTCTGTATACGCATTATACTGTGTATACCTCTACCTTTCTTTGTATACAGTAAAGCTAGATCCTATTACATTACATTATTTTCAGTGAAACATTTTTATGAAACTTACTAACTAGCTAGAAATGTATAAAATGGGATGAAGAAGCGTCCACGCTTGCTTCTGCAGAGCGCTACATTCTTGACTTAAGAGCTCTGCTGAGATTCTGCAGCTCTCTGCCAACGGACTTGCCAATTTTGAAAAGTGGTTCTGCTAAACAATATTGCAGCAACCTCTTTGCACTAGAGTCCTAGAGCCAAAGACAAATAGCTCTATAAAACAAAACATAAACGGGGCCAGAAAACATATTGCACTTGTGTTCCATATTAGAGAATATCTTTCACACATTTCACACATAATGAAACTATTTGTCGTCTGTGAACATTAAAGAGTTCGATTTCAAAATGGGTATTTCTATATCAGTTCTAACACTTCCTGTAGCTGTAAATGTAACAGTGTCGTTCACAGTGGCAGAGAAAAACAATTTACTGGGTCTCCGTTTCACAGAAACAGTGTGATTGTATTTCTTCTTTTAAAGAGAAATAACCTGATCAATACTAACATGTCTGTTATGCCTCAGGAGAGGATTCAGCACCATTCAGGCATGAAGCTGTTGTGCTATTGCACTTAAGGTGTGCACAATTCTGTAAAAGAACTGCACCAAGAAGCACCTTTTAACTGTTGTTAAAGTAGCATTCCCTCCATTGCTATAAGTGTTTTTTATTCACCTACACGTTTGATCAATTAAACCTGCATTTGCTGTCTCACAATTCCTTTTGGGCCAGCATACTGTATGTCACACAGCCACCAGATGTTTCATTTGCAAGTGTAAAAAAATACACTTTGTAAGGGATCATATTTACATCTGCTTATTGTGTTGCAATTTCCGTTTAGTTGTCAGACATACTTCTAAGATACTTCCATATCTTAAGTGTGTAAAATGTAGCTTTCCTTTTTCCTATCAGATGTAACTTGTAAAAATGGCAGTATGCTCCAGAATTGGTTACAAAAGTACCATGTCTGTATGTAAAGTAACCTTTTTTAATTAAATAATTATGCACCACACATGTTGTTAGCATACTAAATGTATAAAAAGCAAATGCATGTACAGTAACGTTTTATTTCAAAAACATGTTTCCATTTGCTGCACGGTGGTTATTAAAGCTGGTGCGGCTGTTCTGTGACGTAACACTTCAAACTAGCCAGCTGGAAAACGTTAATCTCTATTGTGTGACATTCTGATTTTAACTTTGAATCAAATGGCTCCCAGTAAGGTGAAGAGATGACTTGCACTGCCAACACCTCTGAAAAGCACTGCCAGACTGAGTCTGCAGCTCCATGCAGCCCTCAGCCACTGTCAGCTCATTATTTTGGTTCACTGGTCCATCTGGTTGAGGTCTAACGGCTCTCACCAGCCCCTGCATAAATATAATGGGTAGCTGCCAGCTCACAAGCTTAAATAAGCTGTACATACCTGTGTGTGAAAAAAGGCGGGAGCTGAAGCGTTATAATAAATGTTCTAATTAATTATAATGCTTTATTTAGGCAGATTTAAAACATTAAACACTGGATGTAACCATAGGAGGTCATTGTTTGGTTTAAAGTTGAAAATCTAATTTTTGCAAGAAAAACACACCGAACTTGGTAAAAATAATCTATTTATTCAACTCCAGAAAAAAGGTTTTCATGATAAACAATGATGGACATTTACATTTCACAAATGTTACATTTCCCTAAGAAAAATGTAAACAATTGACTAAAAATTGAGATAACTCTGAACAATTTCTCATTTCAATTACTGCAACTGTATATAATTGGTCAATTTCTGATCCTTGCACAAAAATAAATGTCAGTGAGCCATTCTGATGTTATATGATACTTGATCTTATTAAGTCAATTTAAAATGCTTTGTAATGTGTCGTGATTACTGTTGTAAAGCATTATGACGTGTATGAAGTGCTTTTAATAGGTGCGTTCACACCGGAGTACTTTGGTGTACTTTTCCCACAATAGTTCATCAGAACTACGATATATTTGCGTTCACACCAAAAAGCCCCAGGAACTAAAGTAGCTCAACTTAGTTCACGAGACTCACTTTTCAGTCCCTGCTACAGAGCAGGGTCTGTCGTGGGAGAATGTAGTTCGTACGTCTGATTGGCTGTGCGGAATGCAAACCACGCCCGTTTGACTCAGAATTTTTTGTTGTAAGCGGCCATTGTATTTCCTCGCTGGACAGCACATCCGAAGAGATTCCTTTTGTGAAAGCAGTTATTATAGCAACACTAAATAAATCAATTGGAGTGATGAGGATGTGTCTGCGCTTCTGGCGATTTACTCGAAGGACACGAAGCGCCACATTCTGAAGCTTCTACTGCATGCAGTTTCAGTGGATCAGCAAAGTTAGCAGACCTGGCAAAGTCATGTCGGGACGACTACGAAGGTAAAATAAAATACATGCACTGCACTGTTTTAATCTGCACAATACTGGTCTTAGATGTACTTTTATTTGCTCAGTAGATCGAGCTAGCCATGGTAGAACTTGCTAACGTTAGGTCCAAGCTGGCTAATAACGTCTAGCTAGCTAGCTATTCTCATCCATGCCCGCTATGAACACGTTTTGACTTGTGAATAAGTGCAATGTTCTGTAATTTGCTTCACTAACTCATGGCACTAATCGTGTGTTTCAGGCGAGGTGTTTCTCTCAGGATTAGAAACTAGTTTTCCTCTCCGGGATAAAACGATAATATATCGTTAGCAATTAGCATGCTAGCTGGACATAATGCTACCTCTGTGGCTAATGCATAGAGGTAAACAACAGATTGTAGTTGCTATAATTTAAGTAATTTGCAACATTCATTCTACATGTTAATGGTAAAAGCTTAAACAGTTGATTACCTGCATGCCACAAAGACTGATGTTCTAATATTTTT